AAATAGATTAATAGGTACCACTTTGATGGGAAGGTAACAGCGTTTCATACGACTTTGGCGTACAACCATGCTGGCCACATGACCACAGAAATTGTCTTCAGACAACACTGTCTTGGTCAAGAAACAGAGATGAGCACCGTGCCCTAGAATTGGATGCAACTGACAAGGAAATCTTTACCTTTTTATCTAACAACAACAACTCCTAAATTGCTATGTTTAGTTGTGGCAGTATGTTAACTACCGACAATTCTGGGTATACATGAGTTGGTTAAAGCTGTTTCATCAGTTTACAGCTGAGCTGAGATTAGCTCCAGAAGGCTCAGCCCATTTCTGACTTCTGGGAATTTCCTCCAGACTTGGTATCAAGGCTCAGGTTCACAATACCATTTCCCACGTTTGGGGTATGTTGAGTTTTATTTGAACTCGCATCATGTTTGGCCCAACTGAGCATCCATACTCCTCTTACTGTAGCACGGTAAAATGCAAAGATCTTATTTGTTTGATTTTTATTCTGCCTTTTTAATGCTCAAAGTGACAAACATACCCAATACGCCAGCCTCCTATTTTCCCCACAACAGCAATCTATGAGGTGTGCTGGGCTGCAAGAAAAGGACCATCTGGCTTTCGTGCCTAAGGCAGGACCTCTCAGTCTCCTGGTTTTTAGGCCACTACCGCAACTGCTACATGAAACTGGCTCTCTATTGTTGCTCTCATACCTGAACCTGCTCCTACTTAATGTAACAGTGCCTAAAGTGCTTCTTTAAACTCTTTTAAAGCTAATTATTCTCCATAAATCTAGATATCTAATAGCGGCTAAGGTGATTTGCGGTTTATAATGCACTACCAGAGTTGTTCTTGTTAAATTTTTAATGTAACTAATATGGTGTTCATAACCTATCTAAGAATGGAGGTGGGGAACAAAACTGGGTACGTAGGGAAAGGGATCTTAAGAAGCCAGGGTGGCATGATACAATACCTGCAAAGGGAAATCCAACTGACCTCAGATGCAACTCAAAACAAGAGCACTTGTTTTTTGTTTTTTGTTTTTTAATTTCCTAGCATTTTCTCACAAGTGCAGGGTCTGTTTCTTTAACTCCTGTTCACTCCCCTTCAGTCCTTCCTAATCTAGCAGTGGTCTCCCTTTCAGGACTGGTTTAATATTTATATATGAAGGTGGTCGTCTTCCTGCAGGACAAGATACTGATGCATGTTTAGCCTCTCACATCCATAGGACAACTCTGAAATATTGCTGCTTTTCAGTCCAGCTATTGGCTGAATTTCTTACAGGTTAAACAAGGGAGGGATGGTGTATCTTACATATGCTACCTCTGGTCTCTTTCCAGGAAGGGTGGGATATCAGTGTGAGAAATCTAGGAATTAGGCAAATCCTCTTAGGCCATTGTTTTTCAATCTTGATAACTGGGGAATTCTGGGAGTCCATGCATCAACAAATGCTTAGGCTAAAGTGCAACTGGCAGGAAGACCTCTTTTAAAATACATGTTTTTGAAAATACAGGTCTTAAGCAGAAAAGTGGCAGTTGGTTGCAGGATGGCACAAAAATGTACTTTCTAGCCATTCATCAGCAACAGTAAGAAACCGTATCTTATTACTTATTAAAAACAGCAGTCCTCAAACATACATAAATTAGCCATTGTAAAATGGATTAACAGCAATTACCAGCCACAAAATACGAACATAACAAACGTCAGTGTTGTTGAATAGCCCCATGGCCAACATTTCACCGTCTTCAAGGCTATTGCTTCCTATAAAAAGTGGAAAGCAATCCCTACATGCATTTGGCTTGACATAGTTTTTGTTTAATTAAAATGGAGTCGTGGAGCTGAGTGAGGTGAATGTACAGCATGGATTTCCTTCAGCCTCAGTGCTATAAAGCTTTTGAAGCAACAGAAAAAAATAACCAGGAGATTACAACATCAAAGACATCCAAGGTACAGAAAGAGGGACAGGGGACTTCCTGCATTGTCATAGGTATGCACTATCTCTAGTAGAGAAGTAGGAAGAGGACAATTTACACTGGTGTCACTTTTGCGATGTTGGAGAACCAATAGGATGCAATACAACACACACTTTCAGAGGTGTGATGTCATATAAGGTAGTTTCTGAATCTGACCTCAAGTTGTGTACAGCACAAATAAGTCTTCACTTTTCTTCTTCATTACAATTGAGAAGAAAAGCTACATTTCACTGCATGTTCTCATCTCTATTTGCTGGGTTTAAATTGTACTACAGCTCTATGTTGTTTCCATGATTTTTGCTAACAGGAACAGTAATTCTGAGTAAAAGTGAGCTCTTCTAACTATACATAGTGAAATAATTCTTAGGCTGCTTTGGTGAAAGGTTGACAAAATAATACAAAAAAGATATAGGCACAGTGGGTGCTGGTACTATTGAACTCCAGACACTTAGGGGAAGATGCTTACTGATAGTTACATTCTGGGGGGGGGGCGTGCAGTCTCTCTGAAGAACGAAGCATTTATAACTCTGAAATAAATCAGCTTTTGTCATTTTGCTTTCTGCTTCTATATTAAACCTTGTGAACAAAGGAAAAAAGGAAGCAGTTTTACATCTCAGTAAACAGCAGTTTCAGAAATTCCTGCCTCAGTTTAATTTTTTTTTTCATTTTAATGCTGAAGTATACTGAAGAACTTCAGTTCTTAATCTGGATTTGCCAGGCTGACCAGGAATTACAGAATCCACTTTGAGAAGACTAATCTAGCTTAATTTTTTGGGGGGGGGGGGGGGAAGCTGACTTAGGAGAGCTTGCATGCTTTCTTTCACTAAGTTTCTTCACTGGTGCTCTCAGATGGGACTACAGCTCCCATCCTTCCTATGATTGATGGCTGGGCATTGGGGAGGGGATGTTGTCACAATCCAAGAAGATATGGAGGGCATTGGGTTAAGAAAATGTTCACCCCTTAACCAAGCTGTCACTCCTGCCAACTCAACCATTTCTGCTGAAGAGGAATAAAACAAGCAATTCTTGATCGACCCAGGGAATGGAAAGGCTGACAAGGCAGAACGAAACCAGCGAGCCAGCAGCATTTCCTAGCCCACTATCTTGATTGTGACAGTGCATCCTCACAAGAAGCATTTCACACAGTTCATTCATTCGGCCAGTAATATTGGGGTGGTCCTTAAATGAGCGAATCCTCGCTATTTCCAAGTGGAGTCGGGCCTTGAGATTTTTGCCATTCTGACATCAAGTTAATGTGCAAGTCTGGCTTTCCTCACTCTTCTAACTCCACTCCTATGTTCCACACAATATAGTGACAGTGCAGAGATGCTGTAGAAAACATGTCTAAACCATAGATGGCTAGGCCTCCTTGAGAGTGAGCGATGGAATATAATGCGGCGGCCTGAAAATATACACACTGTACACGTTCTGATTTTAGAGGGGTGTGTGTCTGTATGTGTTTGAGGGCCGCTGTTTTTAATAAGTAATAAGTAATCAAACTAATAACCACAAAGTGTGAGGCTATGTTTACACATAGCCTTTTCTGTTCATACTGAAGGTCCATTCAGTTGACTTGAATTTTCAACATGCTTAATATCCTCCCACACAGCTAACTTTACCGTTCCACGTTTACATTGTAAAGAACTGGAGTGAACATTCAAACAAAGCATTTGATAATTCAAGAGTATCCCAGGACTACTTTTCCAACAGTACAACACAATTGTTTTAAAAAATGTGGGAAAAAAATCATGTCAAGAAGTATCCTAGGAGATACAGTACAACAAGAGAACTACTTAAAACAGAAAGGAAATGACATAGCTTTCCATGGGTGACATTTCTTATTTGCGTTTTTATAAAAGTGGATTGCTGTATAGTATATTATGCAAGAGAGCTGCCAAGTGGCCAGAAAAGCAATGACTACCTTTTTGCTGCTCCAAAAAAGTTGAAATATCTACACTACAAAAGACCAAGAAGCTGTTTCAGACACTGATTGAGAGTCTGACTGAAAGATGGCAGCCCTAGATGATTGTTAACAACAACATAGTCCTTAAAATAAGCAAGAATCCAAACAATGAACCAAGAGGTTGCAAAATATGGAACTTACAAGTTGACATTCCAACATACATTATTTCACTAATGCGTTTGGAAAATGTATCGTGCTTTATAGAATGCAGCCAGTTCTGATACAGCCTGTCTCTTGAAACAAATGTGATCTGAGAAAATAAGTAGAACTATGGCCTAGCTAATGTACTAGAAGAATACAATATGCCACAATTAACAATTTGTCTTGTGAAATCCCACATACCCTCATATATTCTTAGCCAATAAAAACAGTGGGTCAAAATCTGGAGAAGACTGTCAGGGAGCAGATACAAATCCAGCAAAAGCACACTTACTCAATACTACTGTATTCATGTATCAACAGTGAGCTATACAACTCTTCTGTTAAATTAGTAATGTTCCTTACTCGGCATCACAGCAGAATCATATATCACATAATTAACCCTTAATTTTACAACACTGTAAAATATAAAGTCATACACATAGACACAGACCAGGGGTAGATAACCTTGGCTCTTTTATGACTCGTGGACTTCAACTCCCAGAATTCCTGAGCCAGCCTGGCTCAGCTTGGACCCTCTCCCTTTCCCCTCAGCATGGCTGGCTCAGGAATTCTGGGAGTTTGAAGTCCACGAGTCATAAAAGAGCCAAGGTTGCCTACCCCTGACCTAGATATAGATATAGACATAGACACATATAGTAATGGGATGGTAGAGGCAGAAAAATGAAGGATATGCTAGTAATAGGAACACCCTTGAAATAAAAGTATAGAAAAGGAAATGCAATTTAGGACCAGAGATTACCAGACCACTGGCACTGGCAGACGGGCAAAATGATGTTAGAGCTCCACATAGCTGAGGTCACAAATTAATCATTTGTGATCTCAAAGGTTCCATCCCGGAGCTCTCAGCTTTTCCCACACCTTCTTCTGTTACAGAAAGAAAGGATGGACCATCTCTTTGGGCTGTGTACCCTCTTCCCACTGTTTCTGTCCTCTTTCTCCAACTGTAAGCAACAATATTCTTGAGTGTTTCCCAAGACTAGGAAGAGAGGGAAGTCTTGTAGAAAAAAACTCAGAATGAATGAATGGAATGAATCTGGTATATTTGAAAAGGAAGATGCAAGTAAGGGCACTAAGATAATGGCAATAAACTCTTGTTTCGAATATTTTTTTTAAAAGCAGAGTTTTCAAACAATAACAGGTGGAGTTGGTACCAGCGGTAGCAGTCGGTATGGAGGCCACTTTCAGCACCTTACTTTGATTTATTTGCACATTATTGAAAGAGGAAGTACAGCATTTATTTATTCATGTATTCATTTTATATAGCCACCCATCTCACATAAGTGACTCTGGGTGGCTCTCATATTTAAAGGCAGCATTGCTTTATATTAGATGTTAGTTCATGGTTTGGAGATTCGAGGAATGACTGAAGGACTGTTACCCAGTTCACTTCTTTTCAACTGAATAACCAGCACATTGACAAGACCTGGAGCAGCTATTACATTGTAGCATGGAAGACTAGAGGGAGTTTATTGCTCTCTGTACTCGTGCATCTGAAGTGTTACTGCATGCATCTCCTAGTGACTAGTCAACTGGATTTGGGTAAGGCAGCCTCAGAGTTAAAAGTTTTATATGGCATAGATCAAGGCGAGATCAAACTAGGCTTTGGTTGCATTTGTGGCATATTGGCCACAATGTCCCCAAATTAACAAATACACTTTTTCCTGTAAGCAGGGAACATGGTGTGCACCACAGGTAGGGCAAATGCTGGTAACCTAGTCTATCTCTTCTATGTCTTACTAAAAAAAAACCAAAGCATGAAAGCCTTAATTGACCAAAATCATGACAGGCAAATGGAAATCTTATCTCTGGTGCCTTTTTTCCACCTTGTTTGTTGACTCGAATTTCCTCTGTACTACTTACATTTTCGCCCTTGAGTAAACTTGCGTATGCAATAGGGAATAATGTGCTGGGTCTGTACACTTGTATGCATTTCCTCTGCAGTTTGTGGCCTTCAGTACCCAGATCCTAAGTCGGGTAAAGCTAACGCGATCTCTGAATACAGTGGAGCCACAGAAGCCCCATGGCTCGTGAACATCTACGGCAACGGCCAGAGATGCCAAGGAGTTATCCTGAGCAGCTTGTGGGTCCTGACAGCAGCCAACTGCTTCTTGTTGATGTGAGTATTGATAGAATTTGAAGCCAATTTTTTTCTCCAGCTCTGTCCTTGGAATGGATGTCTCTACTGAAGAAGATACATCTTCCAATCTATCAGAAAGCCCTGCAGTTGGGGATTACAGAACCAAATCCCTGGATTGGAATAAAACAAACTGTTATGGTTGCCTTGCAGGAATCCGAGCCAAGTAGAGTTGACTGGATCTCCTGGGCATTCCTCCACCAAGACTGTGAGTCAGTTTCTGCTACATCGGGGCTTCAGTTCCTGGAATACAGCACCCAATAATGATCTGGGTCTCATCTTGCTTGCCCAGCCAGTTGATTTAACAGCAGAAGACATGTGGCCAGCTTGTATTCCTCGGGAAGAAAAGCCATACAACACACAGGAGGAATGTAGGATTTTCGAGCGAGGCCAAGAGGGTGAGTTTCAATCTGCTGTATCATAGTTTAGGAGACTCTTTATTTAGCTAGCTGAGTTAGGGCTATGGGTCAAAGGTATCAGCAAAAGGGTAATGTTTGTTTTTCTTAGCTTATCCCAGCAGACTATAGACTGGATTTAGTCTTGGCACATCTGTGAGAAATGCTATACAAGCAGAGAAGCTGGTATTACAGCCAGAATGTGACATACTAAAAGAATTGATTAATTTTCACTGCCCTTATGGCTATGGGAATATTTTAAAACATATATTGAGAAGCTGGAGGAGAGAACAAGCAGTTTATGAGATTTCAAAACCTGTTGGCCTATTCTAAATCCACATCCCTGCATACAGACTGAGAGGAAAGAAGTCTCGTGCTGAATGCTGTGAACTGGGCTAGCTGAGAATCTTCTCTCCTCCTCCACAGGATCAATGAGATGGTTCCTAAAGGAGACAATGGTGGAGGCCTTGAGCATATCTGACTGTTCCAAGCATTGGCCTAACACAACGGAAGGCAGGAACTTGTGTGTGGCAAAAAAAGACCCTCCCAAGCTCACAACTTGCAAGGTAACCCAAATGAATGGATTCTTTTGGACCATAAATGGGGAAAATATTTCCTCTTTGCTTTCCAGGACATTTTATTCCTTTTCAGATGTTTCCCACTGTACTATCTTTTGTGGCATAAGGAAACTCATCACTATTATTTCAAAGAGCAAGGGAGGTCCTCTTCATCTATCTCCAGCACTAGTTCTACTTTTCCAGCTACAGAGCCATTCTGAATCACCGCATCTATTATCTACACTTACAGAAGTAGATAGGATTTGATAAGCAAATAATCTTATATCTGACCTCAACTGGATGGGAAGAAACATACAGACTATAACAAAAGTTCTGTAACGTTGCAGAATACAGAGCCACTGTGACATTCTTTGGCAGAATTATTTATTTAACTTATTTAAATAACATATTTGGCCACTCGACTCATTGCAACAACTCTGGGTGATGTACAGGAATTAAAAGTAACAATAGTTACTTCAGTTATCCAAGTAATAAATATCCAAGGTCTCTCGCACACATAAAAAAACCCAATTTCAACTTTCAGTAGGGGAAAAAAAACCCAATGAAAACCAACCAATCAGCAGGAACTTGCTTAACCTCCCAGCCCAAATGCCTGGAGGAATATCCAGATCTCTTATGAAAGGCTAGCAAAGTTGGAGCATCCACATCTCAAATATGCAGAATATCTCAGATGTGCAGGTATTCCACCAGCAGGGATACTCTAATATTTTTTATTTTTAGTATCCAAATTTTAGGATCTGACTTCATGGTCATCTTGATTGTTTGATTCTCATGCCCTCTCCTCTTTTCAGGTGCCAGTGGGCAGTCCCGTTATCTGTCATGATCCAGTTACTTGGGAATGGGAGGTGATGGGCCTTGTAAGTCAGAGCTTGCACAACTGCACAGTCCCTATCCTGGCTTCTCAGCTTTTATCCCATCTACAGTGGCTGAAGCAAGTGGGAGCCTTAGAGAATCCTCTCCAGCCTGAAGATAAATTACCTTCAGCAGCTGGACAGCAGCAACCGGTAACATTATTGGGACCAACTACAGTTCAAATACCACTGGAGACTCTCAAAGTGCCGGTAATACTTCCAGCTGCAAAACAAATATTTAAACTGCCATCATCAGAAGCAGCCATAACAGTCTCACTGCCTCCAGTGCAAGCAACCACAACAGCCACCACTAAATTGTCAACAACTAATCAGTTGCTGGAAGCAACTGTGGCAGCCACCACTGCATCTCCACCAACCAAACCTCCAACACTGGAAACAATCACCATAATTGAAGCAACCAAACTACCACCAGTGGAAAAAACTACAGTCACTGTTATTGAATTGCCATCAACCAATCTGCCATTACTGGAAACAATTATGGAAGCCACTGCTGCATCTCCATTGACCAAACCTCCAGCACTGGAAACAATCGCCATAATTGAAGCAACCAAACTACCACCAGTGGAAAAAACTACAGCCACTATTATTGAATCGCCATCAACCAATCTGCCATTACTGGAAACAATTATGGAAGCCACTGCTGCATCTCCATTGACCAAATCTCCAACATTGGAAACAATCGCCATAATTGAAGCAACCAAACTACCACCAGTGGAAAAAGCTACAGCCACTGTTATTGAATTGCCATCAACCAATCTGCCATTACTGGAAACTATTATGGAAGCCACTGCTGCATCTCCATTGACCAAACCTCCAGCACTGGAAATAATCATGGTAACTGAAGCAACCAAACCACCATCAATGGAAACAACTACAATCACCACCACTAAATTGCCATCAACTAGTCTGCCATTACAGGAAACAATTACAGCAGCCACCACTGCAACTCCATCACCCAATCTGCCAGTGTTGGGAACAATCACAATAACTGAAGCACCACCACTAGAAAGAACTATGACAACAACGCTCTCATTAAGCCAAACTACAAAGCAACTTGGTGCGGTATCTTCAACTACTAAGAATTCCATTTTGTATTCTTCAAATCCTGCCCAAGAGACCAATAATGTAATTCTTACAACAGCCCATGAATCATCTCCTACAACATCTGCATCCTCCTCCCCAACCACAAAACCACAGCATGGAGCACCAACAAGTTCTGGACGTCTGCCACAGGAAACACTTTCCATTCCAGGACAGCCTACTACTGCTGGGATGGCATCAACTAAATCCCTCACACCTAGACAGCAGTCACCTGTAACTTCCATGACATCACATCAGTTGTCACCTGTTGTCTCTTCCATGAACAAAAGGAGCTTTGTAACAATGAGAACAACAACATCCTTTTCTCAAACCTCAAAGCAACCAAATGTAAAACTTGACCAATCACCGTTTTCAATCACCAGGAAACCATCTGTCAGGGCCACACAAACTTTGGTAGCATCCACAGCCAGGCAACCACTCCAAACTTCATTAATTTACACACATCACCATATAGTAATAACACCACATACCTACTCGAAGCAATCTAAACCTTTGTCATCTCCAGCCACAAGATAGGGCTTCTTCCACAGCTTTACTACTCATACTTGAAATTTCTGTCTGCTGGTTTTGTGGGACTAAACCACAGGAGAAACCATGAACAAGACCTTTCTCTTGGTCCTGCTCTGGCATGTCTTCTCAACCCAATAAAATAATTCCCATCTTCCAATTTGTGAGCAGATAACGTGAATGCCCAGATATAAATGGCATGAATCAGCAGCTCCCATGCCTATAAGCAAGATGGCAATTCACATGGACCACAAAATTGATAAATAATGTGGCCAAGAACTTCTATGTTCCTTTTCCTCTCAAAATCTGGGGCTTACCCGTGATCAATCTTTCCTGACCCTCAACCTGCCAGCCCTTCGGAGTGGAATAAGGTTACAGTAGATTAACTCATTCCAGATCATTGTCAGAGAATCTGAAGTCTGAAGATTGGCTGATTTTTTTTAAATATGTTGTTCTTTCCCTTCTATATTTGGGCTGAAGCCTCATTTTAATTTCTTATCATTTATTTCTTTTCAAAATTATTAAAAAGTGCTTAGGCCTTTACCTGTTAGAGTAAAAAATAATTCTTGTTCAATTGTACATGCCTCATTATTATTTCAGCTAAAAATTCCTTTGGATTATTTGACTATTTTTGTCCGATTCTACAGGAAGTCAATCATTTACCTAGGGAAAATGCAAAAACCTTTTCCCAATTTGTTGCATAGTTCTGCTGCTATTAATGTCAATTATCAATAGTTTTTAGTTTTGCCATCTTTCAGCTGCATTAAAAAAAAGCAACAGAGAGAATGCCTCCAAATTTAAAAAACAATTTCAATGATTAATAGTTATAGAAAAAGCTGCTCTGCCCTGCACACATGAAAAAGGTGTAGAAGCAGGTATTTATTTTCTCAGTGTTTAAACATTGTGACAAATTATTTGAAAATAATAAAATAATGTATGGTATTTCCTTGACTGACAGATTTGGCCTTGATTTACGTATTGTTCAGCTGGCTACTTATTTATGTTAACCAATTCGCAAAAAGACTCTGAGTAGCTTACAATAAGATGAAATTAAGATAGAATTTAAAAAAAAAAACAGAACCAATCTCCAAATCCAATGTCAATTTTCTAACCATACTGAGATAAATATTCCTAAGCAACCATCAGCTGCTGCCAGGTAGGAACCCATGATACCATCAAATATTTTCTGGAAAGGCCAGGTTCATGGTAACTTTCCTGAGTGACAAGTTTGGAGGTGACCTGGAGCAAAAGAAAGCAGCAGATACAGAAATGACACACTTGTGGTTTCCAATGACAGTGGTCTCTTAAGGAGAAGACTCGCACTATTTCAGAAAGCCCTTGGGAATCAACGGTATGGTGAGTCTCTGCCCAGTAGAAGAGATTGTTGGGGTTAGGATTGTTTTCCTTGCTAGTTAAGATAAAGAGACAGTCACTGATTTAGATCTAGATGATCTTGTCTATAAGAAATGCAGTCAATGACAAGCCTCCTGTAACAGATAATGCGAAAAGGACTTTCATTCCCCGATGCTTCAAGAGATGAATCAATAAACAGGAGTTGATGGGAAGAAATTACATGCAATTTCCCAAGAGTTCCTGTTTTATACCCCGAGGTTGGTACTGCTTTGAAACAGAAGAGGATGAATTTTGCTAGATTGCCTCTGTACCTTATCCACCTTACCCTCTTGTGCTAGTTCTCTAGTTAACGCCAGGTAAAGTTTGCAAAAAGAGTGTGCTCTCTCGTCACTTTTTGTCCAGTTCAGAATAGGTAGTTTGTTTCAGTATTTTAGAATAGCCATGCTCCATTGAGGATGATGTGGGGGAATCTGTCTTCCTGTTCCAAAAGATCCTGAGGTCAAATATTTCAATATCTGAGGCTTTAGGGTTTTTTTCTCTCTATTCTATAAAATATGGATGGGACTGAGGGTTATATAGGGAAACTTTCTGGATAGGGTTTCTCCTTAAATATGACAGAACACACAAAATCAGCAGAGTCCAGATGCTGTTGGAAAAGTTGTGTGAGAACTGTCACAATTCCTGGGCTCTAACAACTGTTTCCAGAAAATGAAGATAACTCAGAATTAGGGCTGATAGTGTAAAGGTAGAAAAGAGTCAATTTGCAAGAAAAGACTCAGTGAAATATTAAGCGGTTGATTCTTCATCCCGAATAACCTCATAAGCTAAGATTGAGTCTGGGTGGTGGGAGCTTTAGCACAGAGACAGAGGCCCCAAGCTACTTGTGTTTAGAATTGATCCATAATACCCTGGCACCATCATTTTTTTCTCTTGACCATATAATAATGTTATCCTGGTAATCCCGGTCCAAACCCAACAATAGCAATTTAAATAGTCTTATAGCATCACTTCTTGTGCAGCAGAAGTAGCTTCCCCTATTAAATTTTCAATGATCCCACCAGTGTCTTAGGTTCTACTAAGTTTCATCCTCTGTGCAGGCATACTTCCTCCCCTCTGATCACTAGTTAATATCCATGACAGCCAAGTCTGCCCCAGGACTTCCCATCCCAATGTTGTCTATCTATCATCTATCTATCTATCTATCTATTTATCTATCTATCTATCTATCTATCATCTATCCATCCATCCATCCATCCATCCATCCACCCACCCACCCACCCACCCACCCACCCATCCATCCATCCATCCAATTTCTATAGTCATCTCAATCAATAACTTTGGGTAGTTTACAATTCAAATTATGTTTTCTGAATCTTTCTCATATCTTTTATCTCTTTAAAAAAAAGTTCTTCAACTTCCAAACAAATATAGGAAGCACAGCAAAACCTGCTTTATTTAAGGGAAAAACATGTTCCAGATCAATACAGTGACCTTACATTGCTTCATTGCAAAGCTCTGAAAAAAAGGAGGGCTGTTAAAGTGGACCAGTTGGTCACTGGCTCAAAGGTTAGTCAGTGTTAACCATCTGTAAAACACCTAATCAGGCAAGCAAGGATATCACAGGATCATCCTTCCTCATCTCATGGCTGTGAACATCCTGGTTGTATGTGTATAACCTGGTTGTAGAATCTCTTGAAGCACTACTTAGTTAAATACACACACACACACACACACACACACACAAACACAAAGAGAGAGAGAGGGGTGTATCAAAAGTCAGGTTCCATAGGCTAATCACAATATGCTTTATTAATTTTATCTTTTTTTCCTACAGAAAATGTTACTGAACTTTAGGCATGTTCAAAGGTCACGCGTCAAACAAGTAAAGAAGCATTTGGAAGACAATTACAAACAATTTGAACATATAGTGTAACTTATATAATGAATTGTCTAAGAGGCCTGATTTTTTTATCTACGTGTGTGATTGCGCATATACATACATACAAATACACTTCTATATTCAAAAGGGACTGTCTTCACTTTCAATTATAATTTTAGATTAATACAGTGTAAAAATAGCATAGAAATTAACCAACAACCCAATATAAAATTACCAATAATTAGGGGGACAGAGAACATTCATTGCGGGAGATGACAGGTGGAACCTCAATTCATGGATTTTTTTTTTAATAAGAGCTCTCTGGAATATCCTCTAGGAATATCCCTATATACCAACTAAGATGGGTGATCCTGGTGATCAAAGGTGTTAAATACTTGGAGGAGCAGAGCTGAATTGAACAAGTAGTTATAAGGTTTTCTTCTATGATATAAATCAGGGGTCTTCAAACTTGGCCCTTTTATGACTTGTGGACTTCAACTCCTCGTGCCTGGCTGAGGAATTCTGGGAGTTGAAGTCCACAAGTCATAAAAGGGCCAAGTTTGAAGACCCCTATATAAATCATCATCTAAAGTCTACAATCTATTCTAGACTACAGTAAATTATGCATCATTTTCTAAAACAATGTTGTTAACCAATTTTTCTGTCAACATTCTAGGCAACTTCATTTTGAAGAATAATTCTGTCAATGCTTCGCTACTCTCAAGCGCATGTATAGTTGGGACATGTACATTTTACTGCTGCATCACTGGTGGTAATTGTTGAGTCCGTGGCGGGAAAACAGACACGAGAAGCAGCTGGAGTTCTCAGTTTCATTTATTCAGCGTTCAGCTTACAGGAAGATGGCTTCAGCCTCGCCCAAACGCCTCGCAGCCTCTTATATAGGCAACTCCCGGGTAAATGGGTTACTTTTCCCGCGCCAGCACCCGCGCATGCGCACGGCGCTGGCGACAGCCTGTCTGGTCCCGGGCAGCTTTGCACCTGCCCGGGACTGCCTGCAAACGCCCGAGCCGTTTGCAAAGGCTCGGGACATAACACCCCTTTCCCCCGGGCTAAAACTACTACCAACATACAACATTTATTTTATATGACATTTTGCTCCCCAGTGCTCCCACTGATTACTGGCTTTTGCCTTGCCAGCAATGTTATGTAATCTTCTAGATACTTAGGAGATTTCTTTGCTCTCTGTGACCTTCTTAGCTCTGGGTTACTGGCATAAGTCCCCTGACTGGAGGGAGGCGTGAGCCTGTTCTCTCTATTGTGCCCTGGTGTCTTCCAAGGACTGTGCCCCGATGCCTGGCCTGCTTGCTTGCCCACCGGGCTCGTCAGGCCAGGGCTTCTGTTACTTTGTGACCTGGTTGACCTACCTAGCTGTAGACCCTCAGGCCCCTTGAAGTGATAGCCGCTGCTGGGCGTCTCTGTAGAACCTCCTAGGTCAGTCCAAGACCTGTCAGGAGGCTGTCCATTCCCTGAACCCCATTCTGTGTTCGGGCTCGTGTGGGTTTCTGTACTTTCCCAAAACTCAGGTGTTCCCTGATTTGTGCTAGGGTTGTTGTAGTCGGGACTTGGTTCCTCGACTAGCTCTGTGTATGTTTGACCCCCTGTAGGATTTGGGGTAAGGTCAGGCCAACCTTGGGAATTGTGTGCCAGCTCTCTTGCGGGGAATGATTTGTTGGGATGCCCCCGGGTATCCTCCGTTGCTGGAGTGCTGTGTGATGTGTGTGGAAAGTGAGTATGCCCCCGGGGTGACTCCCTGGCTGGAGTAGGCGTGAGTGCCTGTTGTGTGGGTAAGCTCCATGACTTTCTTTTCGGAGCAATTGCAGAACCTTGGGACGAGCCGTTTGTGGCTCCCTCAGTGGAGATGGGCAGTAGCTCTTGCCCTTCCCTTTGCTCCAAAGGGTCCCCCTCCCCCCCTGGAAAAGACCCAGGAGTCTCAGCAGAAAAGTCTCGCCTAGAGCGAAGTTGGTCGATGTGCCGACGCAGGACACGACCGTTGTCCAGGGCAACCTCGTAGGAGAGAGGACCTGTGATCCTGGACACAGAAGCGGGGACCCATGTATGACCAGGCCCGTAATTGCGAGC